AAGTCTGTATTTTTACAATAGAAACAAACAAAAAAACCCTCTTCAGATGAGTCAGCAGCAGTAAAATGGAGGTTTGCTTTTAGCCCTATTGTGATATTGGGTTTTGATTGCACACCAAACACAGTTGCAGGCAAGAATGACAGGCTGCAGAGAGACAGAAAAAGCAAAGCCCAGCATTTTCTGACAACTTCATCGGTTCTTAAAAAGAAAAACAGAAGAAGAAGAAAAAGAGAGACTGAGAATGGAGATAAGGGCCGGCAGCGTGCATTTACATATATAGTGCATTGACCGCGATGAATAAAACACCGGCAAACCGAGCTCTCCTGGGTCAGTTTAGATGAAATAGGGAGTTTACACTTTCAGTAGTAAGCAATACATAAACATTGTTTCTCTAAATAAGGTTATGTACCATCGGATCAGCGTCATTACATCTGTTTTCTTTTACTCGGCTAGTCTTTATTATGTAAAACTACGCCTCGGAAAACATACGAGCTGTGCACTGAGCCTCTCACTTTCCACCTGGTGAATTTGACCCAAATTCACGTTCCCCCCCCGTGCGACCAGGGGACGTTTTTTTTTTTTTTTTATTGAAGCCACGTGTAACAGAGACCACTGACCTGCCTGTGTACTTTGGCTCATGAGTAAACGAGAAGTGATATTCAGAATATTATTATTTGGCGATCGGGTGTTTCTCCTCAGATGGACTTTTCTCGGGGAAAAATAGGTTTCTTGCTTGAATTTGCACAGCTGAGATGGCGCTTCTATTACAATGCTGCACAGGAAGGGTCTAAAAATAGGAGTGGTGTTAGGAACGAATGAAGGCTCCTACTAAACTGTATAATATCATGTTCAAAAGAAAGCTGCGTGAGGCTGAACTTTAGAAACCCGAGGAAAATGTTACCATAAACCTGCCTCCAGCTGTGCCAGTCTTTTTTCCCCCTCTCTCGCTCTCTCTCCTTCCAGTACATTGATTGTTGAGAAATGACAACACAAACTTCCCGTGATATTTTAGAGGCAAAAATACCAGAAAATGCATTTTTTTTTTTGTCTGAGAAGTAAGTTTACTTTGTGGAGCCACTTCATGGAGTTCTCATGAAACTACCACTGCGCCGAGTACCTTTGACTTATCAATGGTTTCTAAAGGTTTAATAACAATAGCTCACAGGATAAATCAGAGCAGTTTAAAACACTTTTTTTTTCATCTTCTGCTGCTTTTGCGACAAAGAAAACTATAGCCCACAGCTTTGCGCGTGCAGTCAACAAATCATGCCAATTGGGAATTCGCCGCTGTCCACTTTGTCATTAAGATTATATCACATTTGTCAGCAAATGGCAATTTAATGCTAATATTTTTGCAGCTTACAGTAAAAAAAAAAGTTTTTTATATTATTTGCTTTGAAGTGTAATTTCATCGAGAAAAGCTCCACTTCACTCAGTTGATGTTTTTTTTTTAAGAGTGTTAAGCAAGTCACAGCTCTGGTTGCCGTTCACAAACATTAAATCAGAATTCAATTACCCTCAGTTTGGGTTTGTAGGCAAAAAATGTGTGTGAAAAAAAATCTCTCATTAAAAAAAATCCCTGCATAATAGATGTTTTTGTCCTAAAACCATGGCTGTTTAGGATGAAAATATCAGAGCAAGCATGAAACAAAACATGTTCTGAATCCTTTCTTTATATCTAACAGCACAATGCAATGTTTTATACTTGTTTTATTTTCATCTCATGTGAGAAATCCTTTATAGTATTCTAGCAAACATACACAAATATTACCCTTGCATTATAAATATTTTATTGAAAATCTACCACTTTACATCATCTTGTTCCAGAATCAGTAAGCTGTTTTAGGACATGTCTGACCGAAAAAAAAAAGCATTCTGTAAAACTGTCAGTAAACAAAATGCATTGATTTGTGTTCTTGGACCAGTTTCTTTGTTTGTTTATCTTGTTTGTATGAACATGATGGATTGCTGTTTAGTTTTAAGAGGCAAAGATGTCAGAAAACTGCAGGGGAGTGTTCACTCTTTCTCAGACGTTATTATGTTTTATTTTGTTTTCATTGTTCTTTTGTTTAAAATAAACTGATGCTGCGACGATGTGACCAGTTCTTTGGCCATGGTTGATCCCTCCGTTAACACAGTTGACATGATAATCACGTTTTCTGTTAGGCTAATTGCTAACTCTAAACTGTCTAGGTTATACTGACAGCATCAATGATTGCTTGTCTCTGTGTCACTGGATGGACTGCGACCTATCCGGTGTGTACCCTGTCCTTTACACAGTGACTGCTGGACACCAGTGACCCAGAAAAGACGAGTTGGGTAAAAATAATTGATGGATGTTTTCAGCGTATAAATGTCACTTCTTATTGTTTTGACTTTGTCCTTCTAGGCAAACAATATATTTTCCTTTAAGGACTGCAAAGGGTTTTTTTTTTTAATTTTGCAAACTTCATCATTATTGTTGGACAGCAAGTAAAATGACTTCCTGTTCCACAAACATAAATTGAATGATTTACAAAAAGCTTATTTGCTATTAGAGCACAAACGTGTAAATCAATTAAAGGCAGTCAAAAACTGACTTCATCCTGCTTAATGCAGCCTCTGCTTTTTCTTTTAACTGTTTACAAAAAAATCAACTAAAAGCCAGTAAAACTCAGCTCTGCTTCTTTTGAAATCTAATCTGCTAAAGAAAAGCCAGAAAATGTAGTTTTAACAGTTTTATAAGTTGTGTTTTATTCTCTTAAGCTTTTCTCAACTTTCTGGATATCCCCTGCTCTTCAGTGCATCTGTAAACTGAACCCCTCCCAACTCTAGAAATCTTTGAGCTGAGTCATGTTTACAGTCAAACCCAAGTTTTTAATGTTATTATTATTATTATTATTATTATTATTATTATTATTATTATTATATTTTTGTATTGTCGCAATAAATTGAAAAGCTACTTTTGTCACATGGAAGAATGGGAATCATGGGCTCCATGTAAATAAGGAAATAACAATATATGAGCTTATATAAATTGTTTTAAAAATATTCTTGCATAATATTTAACTTAAACATAAGCATAAACATATATTTGAAGTAACCTGATCACACTTTATTCAGGCATAACCTTTATTTTCACTAAATAATGATTAATATTTGATATTCTAATAAAACAGTGCATTTAACATCACAATACATTGCAAAAACAAACTGCTGACATTTTTTAAATGTGTTGCAACAACTTTTACCTTTTTGCTATTTTAAGTAAAATTTATAAAATATCTTTGAGTTAATATGATATAAATATAACTAAATTACACCTAAGTTTCATCAAAATTTTGCACTTGTAATTTCTTATTTTATATGACATTTTTTGCTCAGTTAAATCAGAGAAATGTTTACTGATTTGTAAGTTTATGCGTCAATTAAATAAAAAATCTATTTCACTTCAACTTTTTTATACATGATTTATTTCACTCGACAGTTAAAGTCAAAATGTAATTAGTTAAATTCTAATACTGTGCATTGTCTACATTATGTTATTATTGCTTTATTAATAAATAGTACAAAATACAAAATTTAATTACAGAATAAAAGTTCTGTTTTTAAATTTTATTAATTTCTTTTTTGTTGGATAGTTTGGAATTGGTAGACTGGCTAATAAGATAGCTTCAGAAACACTGCACTGCACTGGGCTATAAATAAATGTAAAACTTCTTACAACTTTTTTTTTACTCACTACAAGTTTTTATAACAGTTACTAACTTTAACTTTTAAGTTATTTGTATTCTTAACAGTTGCCTCTGCACAAACAATGAATATGTGTTGATGATGCTCAGTACAGCACATGGATTTATCTCAAAATGTCACAAAAACAGTTAATGTTCAATCATAATTTTTTTGTAAATTTGTCACTATAATACTTATTTCAAATCTATATAATCATCACAAGTAATACTGTTCAAAATCCCTTTTAACAGTGTGAAGTTGCATCATTAGCTGCATTAATGCAACATGTACCTAATGTTTCAGCGGAACATTAAACACCTTTTCCTGTGCCGACAAGAACAAATGATGTTTGCAGAACGTTTGCACATCTGCTCTGTTAGAACGATTAAACATCACTTTCTGATAGTTTCCCTGCAAATTTCCTTTCGTTTATTGACTGCTGAGTTTATTTCATGCACAGATGAGAGTTGAGGTTCCCTCTCTCTCTCTCTCACACACACAGTGCTTTGAAGTTTGATGCATATGTGTGCAAAGCTCACACCAAACATTATATTTGTGGATATCATAGCAGAATAAATAATTTAATCAGCATCACTTGATTTTGCATCTGGATATAATCCAAGTGAGCAGTGATAAGAAAAGTGCAGGAATAGGAGTTTTATTTATTTCTTTTTCCTGACAAAAGTATGTTTTTATATCACCTTGGTGCATTTTGCATTCAGGGTTTTATCCACAAACTCCTTGGCCTCAGCCAATTACAACAAATTTTGCTCTGGCCTCATTATTTTTGTGCTGATGAGTTGTTTTCATTAATACTAATGATCCAGGTGAAACTAGCTGCCCACGCTGCTGAAATTCTAATAGAGTTAAAATTAGGTTGTTGTATTTTGGAGTAACATGGACGTTTTAGTAACTAATGGATGCAATGTCTGATTAGACCAGGAAGGCTGATTAAAGGATCCCTTGTATCACCTGGAGAGAGAGAGAGAGAGAGAGAGAGAGAGAGAGAGAGAGAGAGAGAGAGAGNTATGGTCAGAGAGAGAGAGAGAGAGAGAGAGAGAGAGAGAGAGAGAGAGAGAGAGAGAGAGAGAGAGAGAGACAAAAGGAAAAGGGGGACAACCTGTTTGTGCTTTCACACAAGCGTGAAATCTGAGCACACGTTTGGCGTTAATGAGCGTTTGGGTGCGCGCGCGCGCGCTCTCCGCTCCGTTCCGTGCCGTGCCAGTCGCTCCGCGCCGGGTTTTGCGCGCCTCCCCGCGCACAGCCCAGCTGCTGCTGCAGAGAGAGCAGAGCCGAGAGAAGGGGAGGGTGGGGGGTAGACCCGGTGCGCCGCGTTTCTCCTCGCCTTGTTTTTGCCTCCAGTCCGGCTGCTGCTGTTCCGACCGTCTGCGCGGCGTGTGGATGAGAGGCGCGGAGGGCAGAACCCGGGAGCGCACCGCGCACGAGATGGCTGGGTGAACAAAAACGAAGAGGAAGCCACGTTAAGTCCTTCTACTTTAAACTGTTATCTGCGAACACACCCAGACGCTGTCGGAGTTTCGTTTTTTTTCTTGTAGCCAGACCAGGGCGCATCTCGCCTCCTTGAAGTGATCCCTTTTTTCCTCTCTCTTTCTATGCGGTCTGCCCGTTGCGCTCTCATCGGAAGGAGTCTGGGTGCACACACCAGAGGAGGAGAAGGAGGAGGAGGAGGAGGAGGGGGAGAAAACCGATCATTAGTTTTGAACAGACCCTTTCGACATGGGAGCTATCCGTCCGGTCCCGGGCGCATTCATGGCTCGAAGGAGAAGAACCTGCGTCGGGAAAACTCATCTTCTGTCCGCCGTGAGGAAGAACGCAGCAGAGAGCCCCAGCCATCTTTGAGTAGTTTATGAGGGCTTATTTTCTTTATTTTTTTAAATTTTAAATAAAGAAAGAATAAAGGGAGCTGCTCTTGGACTGAATCGGATCACGCTCTTCCACGCCGGGATTCTTATTTTGGCACGGCACTGTAAGTAGCTTTTAAACGCGCGTGATGTTTTGTGGGGAGCTTTAAAAGCAGGGGGAATGCACGATCGTGGCCCGCTGAATCAATGCATTTTATTTACACTGTCAAGAAGGGAAGGAGAGTATGAGAGAAAATTAAAAAATGGGCTCACGGGCTCCTAGCAGTTTCAAACTGAGATCAATACATAGCCCATGGTGCTGGATGGGGTTTTGTGACGGCTGGGGGGCATTCAGACTTTAACTAACAAGTTGCTTTGCWTCTAGGATCACGAGTGCGCCATTGAGTGCCTCTGTTCAAAAACTCCACTGGTGGAGATTTTTTTATTAAGAAATTACTTTATATTTGTTTGTTTTTTTCATTCAATGATGCACAAGTTGTCAAATAATATAATTTGATGTTGCCAAAAAAAAATAAATTACAAAACAAGTGAGAGCTGAAATATAAGCTAGTCACAAAGATTTATTTTAAGAAAGAAAATCAAATGGTGAAAAACATAAAAAATAAAAAAATAGACCAAACATCTCCACCCAGTCCATGGAGTTACAACAAGCCGTTGGATGTCAGTCAGTGTCTCCATTTACTTTTCCATTTTGTGGCTGTAAAATAAGATCATTTCACAGGACATGTATAATTCACAGACCCAAGCTAGCCATGTGTGATAATGGGACACACAAGCACACACACCATCCCACAACACACACAAACACAGACACACACACAAATAGAGTTCTTAACAGGCTGGAGGAACCATATTTTACTCTCACGTGAGGCTTTTAAGAGATAGGGCCGCTTAGACCTTAGAAGAAAGAAAAAAAAACACACCCAAGAGAGGCCATGCCAGTCTGAAACGTGAAGGTTAAACAACATTTAAATATAACCCATACTGTCTGTACCAAACCAGGACACTGGCGCATCATTATATAAGCTATACTGACAACTTGGGGAATCTGAGGGCTTTCCTTGCATATGCTTATATAACGGCTTAGACCTATGGGAGACTTCACAGTTCCGCTGATTTTTAAAAATTTCACTATAAATCCAGCAAATGTTTTTAGTCTGCAGCACAGTGTGAGAAACAGCCTCGCCACTAAACAAATCCACTCATATTCAAACCCTGATGGAGAGGTTTTTGTTTCTTTGCCAGCCATTTTGGAAGACCAGACAAAACGTCTTGTTGGCATGATGCTCAGTGCTTAATGCTGACATTCCCCATCAATGATTCCCAATGATGTAAAGGTCACCTCCTCCCCTGCCAATACTTGGAGGCATTCTGATTGAAAAGAGATGTTGGAGCTTGGTAAAAAAAAAATGTCTTCACTTCTTGAAGCAAGTGCAAGAGAGTAGGAATTTAAATTGGGGGAGGGAGTGGTTGATATATTGGGGGACAAATGGTCTGCTCCCACCCCCTCCTTCCACGACCTCCACCCCATCTCTCACCCACCCCGAGACATGCTGGTTTGGTCCATTTGTCTTGAGTCGTCTTGGGAGGAAGTGCCATCTCATCTCACATTGCGCAAATGGTTTCAGTGCATGCTAGTGTGAATTCTTGCAGGTTTTTGTAACTGCCAATTTCCATWTCAAAGTGTCTGCATTTCAATAGGGAGAACTTGAGCTACCAGTTCCCCTCCTCCGAGCAGTTTTTGTTCTGGAAGAGCATTGCTACTGCTCCTGCTGGTGAAGGAGGCTACTGACAGGATTTCTGGACACGGCAGTTGGTTATGTGCGTGCGTGCGTGCGTGCGTGTGTGTGTGTGTGTGTGTGTGTGTGTGTGTTTGTGTGTGTGTGTGTGTGAGTGAGTAGTAAGTGTTTGTGTTGGAAGCAGATTTTCGTGTGCATTGGGAGAATTTCTTGGCCATTTCTGAACACCAAGAAGCCATGTATTGTGTGGAAATTCTGGGCGTCGTGCTGAGAAGTGGTCATGTTAAAAAGATTTTCTGGGTTAAAGCATTTTCCTCAGTCTTCCTCAAGGAAAATGTCAACCATAGTTGCTTCTRTTTTTTTTCCTTCGAAGAAATGGAAACTCACAATGTTCATTGAAAATCGCAGAAAATTTGTTTGCGCATTTTAGCTAATTTAACTGTGGCGTTCAGCCTCTAGAATGCTCTGAAATGAGTTTGTTTTTGAGTGCCTTCTTGCAGACTGATTGGTTTAATTCGACATTGATTGAGTGGAGATGTAAATACACAGAGCATTCCTGCTTTGTGTGAGACTCTGACTGGTGTCTGATTGTTTTTTTTATTTTTTATAGTTTTTTTTTGTTGCAGAGATAATATTTATTTCCAATTCTGTGCAACTGTTGTTTTGTCAGAGAAAGAATGCGGCAAGACACTCGCTTTTTTTTCTTTTGATGGATTCTTCTTTTCTTTGTCTCTTTGTCTTGTAATACGTGGTCTAATCTTCATTTCAGTTTTCAGCAGGTTAAATAGATGAAAATAAACACTCTGCACTGTGCTCAAAGAGAAACTTAAAAAAAGACAACAGTTTCTCGCCTTTTGTGCATGCCCTTACTTTGAAAATAGCATCAGCATAGGTTAATAGTAAAAAAAAGAGGGCAGTGTGTGAAATGTTATTACACAGAGACAGGGAATGTAAATGCCATTGGAAGAGCAGTAGGGGTCAGTGGCCTCTTCATGGTCATCCCGCTCTTAGGTAATAACATGAGCCAACTGCTTCTCAATCGGCTGGAGAAGGGAGCTCGCTCTTCCCTCGCCTTCCTCTCCTTTCTTTGTTTGGACAAAATAACATCACAAAGCCTCAGAGTGGGTAAAGAGCAAGAGGGCAGTTTTTGAGTTTGAAGCCAAAAGAGCAGGATGAAGTGAAGAAAAAAAATATAAAAATAAGCTAAACCTCACCTGCCATCCCCACTCATGGCTGGCAGGTTTGACAGCTGTCTTGTTCAATTCCTCCAAGTCAAAAAGTCGGACAAACAAATAGACCGCAAGGGGAAACAGGGAGGGATGAGTAATGGTAAGATTAGATTGAACTTCAAAGAAAAATCCTCCTTACATGCAAGGCACGTTGCATTTTTCCTACGTATGGTCTAATTCTCTCCCTCTGTTAGTGATTTCTCAGTCCTCCTAACAAAGCCRCGAGAACAGACTGGCTGCATTGTGCATGTGTAGGAGGATAAGGCAGGAGCAACTGTGGTAAGTTTGTCGAGTCGAGGAGCAAAAAAAAAAAGTGAAGGTGGAGGGGGGAAACCATGCTGTGGTGCTGAGCCGAGCCTGGTCGTTCAAATTATTAAAAAGCTGCTGAGGAGGAGCGCTYCATGCACTGAGCTCTGTGGAGACTGCTTTCAGTGAAGAAATTGGCACCAGTGCTCCCACTAAGATAAATTTCCTTTAGCTCACTGCAAAAAATGATTTACAGTCTAGAAAGCAGTGGCTGCATCACCATGACACAAAACCAGACACTTTCCTTTATTTCTCCAAAACCCCACCCTCACCCTTTGGTCAATTCTTTGGCTATTAATTCATTCAGTATTTTACCCATCTTTTTTTTTTTGAAGTGACATCAAAGCTGCTCTTTTGTTGACCACATTTTGAAGAGAAAAGAAAAATTAATCGCAACAGGACTTGGTTTAAAAATGGAAAAGGGCACAGAGTATTTAACAATGTGCTCGAGGGTGAGTTTTTTATTTGCTACAGATTCTCATCCTTACTATTATGTGGCTTGCCTCAAAAAATAAAGAGGCAGATGAGGCGAACAAATGCTTGTGTGTCGGGGGGTATTTAGGCCCATGGATGGATACATTTTCCCCCTTTTTTCTGCTGAGAAAATACCTCAGAGGGAGAAAACGTCTTCCCCCATAACGCCACCTCCTGCGCTTAAAATGACAGTTAACTTTCCCCCACTGGTTTGAAATGGATGTTTAATGATCAACAGAGGCTCTGAGCTCAGGGTCCAGCAGTTACGCCGGGCTCTATGTGTGCACTCGAGTAAAAGAAAGCGACCTCCTCCGTGTCGCTGTGAGACYCTCGGTTCAAAAACAAGCTAGTTTCTTAAGTGATGGATCATGCGAGGTCTCTTTGGGTTGTGCGTTAACCCTTTGGAGTGCGCAGTTGGGGAGCCGTCGGCGGCCTGTGATGGATGTGTCCCCAGTGTTTAGGCTCCATATATCAGAAGATTAGGGCTGACCTGTGAGTTGTTTAGGCCGCCCTCAGAGCTCCTTGTCCGACGCTGGCTGATATTAGCATACGAGGGCATTGCTCTGTCTCAAGGGGATTTGAAGATAGGGTTCTTTATTTGGTTCTGRCACAGTATAGGTCACAGGAAGTGTGTAGATTAAAGACTGAGCACCGTGTTGGTATTAGGTGTATCTGACAGGTCATCTGTCTTCAGTGCTTCTCTGAAATTCCTAAATAGCACCATATAATTATCCCAGAAATTGAGGCTCGGGCCATGCTTSGCTGCAGTTCCTCTTTCATGGCCTTCATGAATCATATAAATATGTAAATCAGTCAACTGATGTGGTTTAACGCAGTTTTTTTTCCCCCTCGTGACATTGAAATGCCTGAAATTGGAGCAAGTATACACCATGCATTCTTCTATTGTTACCATTATTTTTAAATGAGAAATCTGCAGGGCCACCATGTGTGATGGACAGCTCGAATTCTTCTATTAAGTGCTTTCACGTGAACGGGACGGGCACACTTGCCTCTTGAGAAGCTAGTCYTTCGCAGCAGTAAGAGGCTAAATTAAATACTACATTGAAGCCCTTTTGACTCACCTCCGATTTGCTGCATATTCTTTCAAATGATCATAAAATCTTTTCCCCACTTAGTGCTCTCATGCAACGCTTAAATGTCACCTCCCACGGTATTGCTGGCATTTGTCCTTGTTGTGTCTTTATGTATTGAAAAAATACTTCAAATGCCAGTTGTCAGGGGGCTGTTTTGTGCTCTGGGGAGAAGAAAAAAGTCACAAGATCACCTGTAATCTGTGTTTCTCTTTTGTCTGCCGTGTCTAATGGCTATTTGATTCCTACTTGGTGTCACTCCATG